CGTTGCATTCTAAGAATTACAGTGAACAGAATCACAGCTGGAAGTTACGATGAAATATTTTAATCGAGGAATTCCCTCAAGTTCCCTCAACGAGAGCACTGAAAATATACACCAACTAAATGAATCAGTTTATTAGCTTAATTAAATGATGTAATATGATGAAATATTGTTCCCAGTATGCTTGCTTGAACCTGAAAATTGAAATATTTCGATAGGTCGATTCGGCATTTAACATTTGATTTCTTCGAACTGCCGTGGCGGCCACATGCAAATTTACCAGATTCTGCGATTCAGAGAAGTCATCGTTATATCATGTGAATAAACCCGTAAAATAGTTTGATCACATAGGCTATAGAACTACATACCGACTCCGTATTTCACAATTGATTATGGATATTACATTGCATTTCAGACTAAGAACAGATGCGAAACATCAACAAGAAAATCAAGTCAGGTAAATGGTAATGGTAATAACGGTACTGTTATTCAAAGCTCGCCTTCCTCCTCGAAAACTGCACCGACAGTACCGTGGATCACATCAACTGAATCGATAATCAAACGCGATAAGCGTCTAGTACCAAGCGAAAATCCTTACGGATCAAGTGAAAGTAATTATAGCAACAGCATAAACGATAACAGCGACAACGATAATCATGCGGGCTACGTTCAAGTTGTTAGTAGTGATGAGCTAGGTCAGCAAATGCCCAAACAAGGTTCCTTTAAAATATTTAATATCCTTTGGATTTTGCAACTATCCTTATGCGAGAATACAACTTATCAAAATGCCAACGATCTCATTTAAATGATACCGAAAGCAGCATATTTGACATCAGTGCTGTCAAAGCACTATTATTTCGACACAATTTTTCGACTTCTTATTGTCATTGTGGCAGTGAAGAACTGTTTAATTTTCAGATGATAGCGCAACTCCTGATGAATGCTTGAAATTCTCAGCCCTGTCGCAAACCACTTACATCATCTTGGTNNCGGAAAAATAATCGTCGTGCCGTGAATCATATTACTCAGGTGCCAACGACACTTTAAAATGATCAGGAAAATTCTCGAATTCAAGATACACACCACGAAGATCTGGAAAAAATATAAAGTTAAGAAAAATCTGCAAAACGATAAAAACTTCCGCCACACGCCACACTCACAATCAGCTACGAAGACAAACCATCTTTCAATAATTTGTCGATTTCGCTTACAATGAAAAAAAAATTGAAACAAATTATAATTTTGCTTGAGTTCACGTTTCGTGATGTTTTAGTGACGATTTTGAACTGATCAGCTAAAATGTTACGGCAATTTAACTGAAAAATTACGAGGAATGAAGAAGGAAATTGCAAAAAACAGCAGCATGTACCATATGAACTTAAGTAAGGCTGCGTGCATTTGAGCTCACTGCCTTCGAAACGCTTAACAACGACAGATTATCAGTACATAGTTAGGCAGATGCACTTTGGAACTCAAAAGTTGCCGAAACCGGATAAACCGGATAAAGGCTCGAAA